TTACGGAAAGTTATAAAATGAATATTTGTTTTTGGATTTGTGTTTCATATCGATTAAATTTGAATTTGAAAATAAACTAGGACAAGTTTTTTCTTCATAAATTTGTATTATTTGCCAACGACTAGCCCCTAAGTTTAATAATTCACAATTACTTATTTAAATCTCTCCTGTTCCCTGCCTTGCTCGTAATATATTAAACGCCAAGTTTGAATATTGTGTAAATTACCTATTGCGACGTTTTCTTTGACTTCTGCATCTGCATTAACGATGGGACGCCATGTATGTGAATTTCAAATTATTGTTATTATTAAACACAATGTCTATCATATTATTTGATTTCGAGGTCAATGTTTTGTATCAAAATTAATGGCGTTTGAACGGACGGACTGACGGACGGACAGACGGACTCGCTAGCAGTTCGTTAATAAAGACCAATATTTACTCGGGAGGACCGCTCAGAACAACTTTACAGCTTGAAAAATTCTACTTTACTTATTAACGAGCTCCTAGCGAATTCATGATTTTAGAACTTCCTGGCAGTTCATCCGTCCGTCTGTGGACAAGAAAACTCCCGAACGATTTCAAATTTTCCAATTCTGTTGTCAGTATTTTGTTTATCATCACCCAAGGAAAAACTGATTAAATGTCCAGGGACGCAGGAGCTCGTTTTTGCACACAATATACAACGAACACTGTTGTATTGTTCTTTTACTTTAAGATTTGCAGTAAATATTTCAGAATATGTGCGGGACTGTTATACAACATTCCAAATTTCAGTTCGATTTTAAATGCAACTACGTTATGTCATTTTACACTAGTTCCACCCTAGTCATTATATTATCATAAATAAGAAATTTTTAAGACTAGAGTTACCAGTCCGGAATAAAGATCACAAAACCTTCCCAATAAATTTCATTTATTATTTTATTATAAATAATAAATAAATAAAATTTATGGGGAAGGTTTTTGATCTTTGTTCCGGATTATCATTTACCCCATTTCGAGCTTCCCTGAGAGAATGGCTACTCAACAAGTTAGAGTTACCAGATTCCATCCATCAGTACAGAAAACTAAAAGTGGAAAGCGAACAACCCAACAGGTTGTCTGAAGGGCGGAGGGTGAATTGAGCACACCAGGAATTAACCCTTCCTTCAGTTTTGACCCTGGTTTTGACCTTCGCCAAGTCTGCATTTTCACGAGAAAGGACGATGCAGATATTATTTATTATGAAGTTTGGTATTCCAGTCCAGAAGTCATTCGACCGTTGACTCTAGAGGAACAACCCAACAAATAATAATCACCTACCTATTGCATTAAACATTGAATACTAGCTGAGAGAAAATCAGACAAGGGACGAAGAGTAAGGAAAATGTTGGTTGAAACCTCTCATGAAACCTATTATAAGGATGAGTTTCATAATATAGCTTTCTACGGATGAAATGAAGGTATACTCCCTTAGACTTTATATACCTCTGGTATCAAATTTACATAATTCCGCAAGAGAAATGAGCGAATGTGAAACGACGCGGCGCCAGCAATTTAGAAAATCTGTGCTAATTAGATAATAGGCAGGTAGGCAATTTAAAACAAAATAACCATAAATCATAACTACGGCGCACAATAATTTAATTATGATTCCGAGTGACATTGTACTGTACACATAAAGTGATGCAAATTAAATAGAATTGGTCCCTTTATCCTTTACCCCGGCCTTGTTATTGGTTCAATCTCGGGTTCAATTAATTCACTGTTGAAACGGATTATATCCGAAATGAAGAGCAACTTCATGCTTGTGAGCCAAACATAAATAAATACAAGTATTAACTGATTTCCGTCCAGATAAACATTAAAGGTCGAAAACAAATATATTCTTGATACGACGAAGCGAAATTATTTACAAACAAAGGGATATAACGTAATACTTACACGGATGCTATGGTAGTGCAAACTCGTGCTTTGTCTGTCAACAAAATGCATCTCGCCGAGAAAATGCCTATGCCACATTGTGTACGAAATCACAAGCTAAGAAACGAAAAGATTTTATGAGACGCTTGCAGTCCAGTGCTAGTTATCTTCCAATGTATTTTGCTTAAAGATCTTACCAGGCATTAGCGCCTGATTTTCACATTTTCGGACCTGTTCTTAAAAACGGGTTCTGCTTTCCTTTCTGTCGGGCATGGAACGTTACAATTTACATCCGAAAAAAAGCAATGACAATGGAAAGTCGATAAATGGTGGGGTCAATACCGAGGGATGAAATAAATATGTCAACAGCATGTTCTAAAGTTACCTATTTTCAGTACGTAATGTACGCAGGGCCGTGGCATCCAGTAGGGCAAACGGGCAAGTGCCCTAGGCGCCAAATTTTGCTAGGCGCCAAAAAGTCCTAAGATTTTTTAAAATAAAAATTACACAAAAGTATTTTACAAAGTTTTAATTTTGCAATTTTAAGTGCACTTGAGTCAGGATTGATCGTAAATAAGTAATATAATAATTATTTATAATAAAAAATATGCAAAGACCACATTATTATTATTATTGTTATTATTATTAAAAAAGGCGCTTCGGACAAACTTTGCACTAGGCGGAATTTTACCTTGCCACGCCCCTGAATGTACGTATAAGTAGAGCGTTATATTCATAAGACCTACTTAAGACAAAAAATTCCCAAAGCTATTTTACGTAAGCAGGTGTTGCACTCCCACCAGTACCGTCCCGTCGAGGTCATGAAAGGACAGTGGTTGACCGGGCCGGGACAATGCAGGGCCGGGAAACACATACGAAAAAATAATAAACGAGGCACTTTATAGTCTGTTTATTCAGTCTGACTGAGGTAAAATGTTTTTTGGAGTCACCGACAAATCTACCATTGTTCTCACTGCACAACGCAAGTGCAAGGCTGCAAGCCATCCTATCTTTAGCTTTACCCACTTTACCTGCTTTCTAAACGCTAATTAATGCTAACTCAACCTCAGTTTTCTTTCTACGATCTACGGGCCCGGGTCGGTGGCCGTGACGGCGTATTTTCAATTTTTTGGGCCGGGTATTATGATTGCATGACCAGGCCGGGACGTTCTACGGAACGGCACTGACTCCCACACAAAGACACTACGAAAAATATCCTCGTGGAGAATTTATACAGTAACTAAAACACTTTGGAAACGAGTTTTGTTATACTAAGGCATGAATGAATCAACTGTGAAGAAGGTATATTAATAGTTGGGGGATCAATTCCAAATTTGTCGGTTCCTTTGAAGACGTGGACCGCGAGTTTTCGTAACCGATCGAGGGGTAAACCGCAGGAGTAAGTAGTGTACATGTTAAGGGAGTTAAGAGGGAATTAAGATGTTCAATTTGATAAGGTTCACACTATTGTTCTCTCGGGTAAACATCGATTGCCCAAACTACTCACTGTCAGAGAGCACTTGAGAATTTACACGCAGGCCTACAGCTTCTTCTGTAATCCCTTAGCAACCAATTTTGGATCAGCTCCGGAAGAAATCTAAGCAGACGGTACACGAATGCATCAAGTGTTTCAAATCTCTCCCAAACTGGTAAAACACACCATTCGACACATTTTTTAAACCATCTACTTTGATGTCTCCAAGCGCCTCCGTCGTTTTCTTCTTCACCTCCTCCACGTCAGTGAAACGCTTTCTCCCTAGGTTCCTCTTCAACCGTGGGAAGAAAAAAAAGTCACTCGGAGCCATATCGGGTGGGTGAGTCAACACAGCCATGCCGTGTCTTGTCATGAACGTGGTCACCGAGATGGCGGTATAAGCTGGGGCATTGTCGTGGTCAATCGCCAGACTGCCACATTTCGGGTAGTACTTTTCGTCTCACACTGTTACGCAACCTCTTAAGAACCTCAAGTAGAAAACCTGGTTAACGCCTGACCTGTTGGAACGAAATTCGAGTGCATTGAAAAAACAAATGAGCATTGTCCTCACATTTGACTTCACTTGAATCGCGCATGATATGGCGTCTGCCAGTGGCTTGATTGTTGTTTGATTTCCGGGTCGTAACCACAGTCGAGATATTTTCGATTTTGCTGACACATACGTAACCTCAATACGTACCAATTCCCTTTTGTTGGTATCCTCCTTCTATCCCTCTCGTCGAGCAATTCACATTTTAACTTTTAATCCTACCAGCGGATACATTGCGTCTCTACCCACTAGCCACTACCCGCTTTGTAAGTATCGTTTTTTAGCACCTTGTTTGCAAGATTAATTTCTCCTCTTATTTAAATATCATGACGAGCAGGATGTCTCCCCCTCCTGACTTTTGACCTGGATACCAGACAAAAAATAGATTTAACAGTAGCCATGTGGAAGGTACTGGTGTACGAAATTTGAATGTAATTGGTGAAGACGACTCGTAACATTTCTTTGCTCGTGCATCCGGACCGACAGACGCATATTTGACCACCTCCTCTTATAATTTTGGAAACTTTCGTGTCTTTGGACAACTAAAAAGCATAGGCCAGAATATAGCGACAATCCGGAGGCGATACGCCCGAGAGCAAAGCTTTATCGACGACAATTACCGCCATACGGTAAAACGATAAGCTTCATGATGGCAATAGAAGAGTGGTGAACACAAAAATTCAGTTCAATCGTTTCCGGGTTATTCACTTTTGAAAATTAACGCTATTATCTTGAAATTCATTGTCAAACCTTATGCCTTGTTTTTAAAATGTGTTATTTCAATATATTGCGACTCCTTCAGCACTTTAACACCCACTACAGTTTGAGAGATGCCACAATGGATTAATCTAAAGGTAATAGGTTAAACACAATATAGTACTGGCGAATGTAAAGTTTTAAAGGAAAATTCATTTCCTTGAAACTCGCAGTAATTTAGCTGAAAGCCGGTTGTCCCAAGTAAATTTTGTTGAAACCTGACTATTGTAACTAAAAACACTGTTTTCGACTTTGTGTTTACTTAATCCCAAACTCCGAAAGTAGGATAATCTTAAAGCTCATTTATTGTTTCAGATGGTGAAAATGATGGTCACTGTCGTGTTTGTGTTCAGTGCTTGCTGGCTGCCCTTCAACATACTTTGGGTAAGTCTTTGGCTATACATACTTCCAACAATATTAGTCGGTAGTTTGTTGAAGAAATAAAAAAGTCGCTCAGGTTTTTATGTTAGAGCACACTTTTCCACCGAACAACTAACACATCAACTTTAAGTGTGAAAAACGAAATGTTGCGTTCAAAAGGCTTTGACAAAATTGCAATTTCGAGAGCTTTTATCTTTATTAATATCTAAACCTTTCTACTTTATGTCTTGTGGTAGTAGTTATTGATTTTAAATTTGCGCGAGGCGCGTGCATTAAAAGACGGTGCGTTACAAAATTAGCATGCAATATAAAAACTCGAAATTACTTAATCCGTTTTAAACGAGCGCGGTCGTGGAACGTTTAAATCGGATTTGATCCAAAAGATTATACTTCATTTCAATTTTTTTGTTTGTCATCATTGTATTTATTTTATGCGGAATAGTTTAGTTGGAATCCACACGTTCATGTACCGCAACATTTCACGATACAATTAATGTTACCATTTCAAGTAGTTAGCCTAAATTTAAGCTTCGTTTTATAATTAATGCTTTTTAGCCGGACGATGGCAATTATCGTTTGCCAAAATGTGTAGAATGTATATTTTTACTTCCTCATCATTCACCATTTATTGTAAATCTAGTCAAATTTATTCCAAATTTTTTTAATCTAACGTATTAAACGATTTATGTGATAGGTTATGTTATGAGAATTGTTTCTGCCAAGTAATCAATGCAGCCCCATTTAGAGAACAATCGAAAACAACTTCATTATAGAATTTATGGACCTAAGCAATTATATACCTAAACGTAATATGTAATGGGTCCATTTAACTTAAATTCAGCTACAATCTATGATGGACATGAGATTTACATCTGGTAATTTGGTATTGATAGCTGTAATTACTACAACGTAAGTGGACAGCGGTGATGTAATAAGTTCTGAAATACACGTCAAGTAGTACATTCGGGGGTATAAAGCGCCCTAGTAGTCCAAATTTCATTGCACGAAATTTCATTGTTCAGTTGACTTTCGACATGATCAATCTTTTGATATAGTTATTTTATATACTTCTTGTACTAATTGTTACCAAATGTACAGGGTGGTCCGAATGGGACACTTTCTTATGGAAACACTCTTTATTTAAAAAAAATGGACCTGTATGCCTGGAGCTCAATGTGAAAGGGAAAACTACTGGATCAAACAGAATTTCGCTATCTCCAATCGTTTGGCTGCTAGGGGGTGTTTCTCGAATTTAGTCGATTGCTTTACTGCCCTATAACTTTCTTATTATTAAAGATAATTGATTTTGGGAAAATCTTTCTTAGAGCACTTTTATGTAGAATCCATTGCAATACACATTTTTGCACAGGATGTTTAGTTTTTCGTATACGGTCCTAAACTGCATTTTTTCATACAAACAACTCTATATATTTTGGAGTATTTAAAGAGAGCTTGTTATATTGATATTTATAATTGCAATATTAAATTTTATACTTTATTTTTAGACATCTAGATTTCGATCAAAAGATGGCAGGAAACTTTCAAACGACAATTTCTTGATTTTGTACCGGTAAATTTTTTTTAATAAATTGTTTTGACTGCATAATTATTAAATTCGTAAAGAAAGGGCAGAAACTATATTTATTGGCAACATAATGGCAGTAATTGTCATAGTTCATCGCTTAATTGTGTAAATGATGCAGTAGAATTTTTCGAACTTTTTATTTTTAATTTTGTGTCGCTTCTCAGCTGCCTAAGGTTAACGTTATTAATATTTTACTTTCCGCTTTTTTGTTCTTTAACTTTTCCTTTTTACGTAGCTTGGTAACCTTTTGAACCCTTTCGTTTCAGTGTCTTGGGATAAACATAAGTTTCTAAATTCCTTGAAGACCTTAACCCCACTATTAGATTTTATAGGGCTTAACCCGCAAATGAAGAAAGTAATGAATAGTTTTCTTCTAGAATGGTCCTGCTTGGGCGTATTGAATAGCTTTCTTTTCATTATCCTCTTTCCCTTTTGAAATTGTTGACCACGATAAACTTTGCGTCAACGTCTTTACTTGCAAAGTAATTCCATCTTCAGTTATAGTAGGAATTTGCTCTATGCCAGAGAATCATATCCTATTTGCTACACCGTTTAAAACAGCTTCGGAAAATTTACTCGTCTCTTTTGTTGTATTTCAGGATTCAGGACCTTCTATTGAATCTCCAACACCAATATCGACCTGGTATTCGTCTTCGTTGCTGTCGAAATCATTGAATAGCTGCGTCTGTGCTACATGTTCATTTTTTTTTTCTATTTTAATAATAAAATTTTATTTAAACGAAATATTTAAAATTGTGTAACAAAGAAGAAAACAATAATTAACTATAACAAAAAAATTTCGTCGAACTGTTTTTCAGTTGGGAGAGTGCCCAGGATACATGCACTATTTCCACGTTGGATGGCCAAGCCAAGGATATCCTTTGAAATAAAAATTGTTTAGCGCGTTTGTCGCCGGATTCCGCAATTAAGCTTTTGCCTATTTTATTCAGAAAATCTCTTGATTCCTTGCACCATGGTCCAAGTGTCTCGAAGGCAAGTCCCATAAATATATAATCTTTCTTTAAATCTCGATATTTGTTGTGTTTTTTTGAGCATGCCTCTTCTGCTGCAGCTCCGGCCCTTATTGAAGTATTTTTAATGTTTGTTTGGGATAAAGTGTCCACGCATGTACAGTCCCATGCAAGGGATTGGCCTTTAGCATATGCTGTAAGCGTTATCCCATCAGGTCGTTTTCCATCAGAACGGTATAGTCCAACCGGTTCCAAAGTAGACGATACGCTGATGGAAGTAAGTGCTCGGTGAATTATTTGATTTAACTCTGTGTGTCGTGACATTCGACCTTTGTTGTTCACTCTGCAGCTAAACCCATGGTATCCTTTTTCATTCACTATTTCTTCACAATTTGAACATGGATGTATTTCAAATATTTTACAACCTAGTCTTAATGCAACACATGTTCGGAAAGTTGAATTATTCATTTGTGTGCCAATGGTAGTTGATGGTAATGAATGTAACCATGCACCAGACTCTTTCTCCATTAGCGCCAGTATTCTAGCTTTATCTATTGGGTCGGTCATTGACAAATGATTATTAATTATTCTATTTGTATTGATGTTGTCCCAAATTTTCTGTACACTCGGTAATGTGGAAGTATCATTGTTGATTGTATTCCATACCTCCATCGCTTCATCAAATTGGAAAGTGCATACCTCTTTGTCCATAAATGAGAGAATCTGAGAGACAAGAGGGTGCACGCCATTAGCAGAAGCAATGAAAGCTGGTAGACATATGTCACCAAAACTTCTTATACCTAGTCCTCCCTTGTGAATAGGTAACGTTGCTTGAATCCATTGAGTTTGATTTAGTCTAATGTTAAGAATTGATTGTAAAGATTCTAATAGTAGCGAGTCAAATGTGGTTATCAAATTGTTAAATTTCCACAAAGGACATGTCCGTAATAAAAATGTCAGTTTAGGTATAAAAAGACAGTTTTTCAGCAACGTGTATGCAACATGTGAGTTAACATCCTTTAGTCTATCAATGAGCAGCTGTAATTTCGTTCTTTTCTTATCCAAAAATAATTTTGTAGCCTCTTCGTAAACAGGTGCACCTAGAATTTCTAATGAGTCTTTATGGGTTATTCTTATTCCATGTTCATTTTGTCTACTATTTAGCATTATTTCTAAGTATATATTGGCCCGTCCAAAAAAGACAATACAGAAAATTTTTTTTAAGCACTTGTACTGAACTTCTGTCCAGGATAAACAAAATTAAACGTAATTGAACATGAGACATCTCTCTTCGTCGTCAAAGGGATCGAATTAACACACGACTTGCATGATGTAACAATAATAAAATTACTACTAGACTAGACTAGACCATTATTGTTTATTAACGCGTTGGAGACTAGGTACGTTATAATGGTAATAATGCCCTAGGGCATTAGAAAGTCCTATAGCATTCAAATATTCACGACAATGACGGAACCTCTGTTGTTGACATGGTTCACTCACATGTTTACCAATTCTTACTGTCGGCATCCACCAAATACACCAAGGCAACTTTGAGCCTGAGAAATTGTACATTTGGGACTTCATGAAAGAACCGTTAAACCCATTGGATTTTTTTGCTTCGTACCCTTTCGATCACTGCATCAGAAATTTTCCCAGCTTATGATACTTTCCAACGTCGATATTTTTGGTAACCAGCAACGTTTTCTTGGTGATTGCGACTGTACACAATGGCAAATAATAGATTTTAGTGACATAAAATTCGCCTGACTTAGCAAAAATAAAAACAAGACGGTCTCATTTGTGATTTCCAGGGAGCACCATCCAGGATCAAAAATTCTCTACTTAAGTTTTTCGAGTGACAATATCCCAATACGATCCGGAGGCAACACTAACTACTACCCGAAACAATACACTTAAACGAACGGGAGGCACAAGAAAACTTGGCCTTAATTCCAATTCCCCAAACAGGTTATATAGAGATTACGTAAATGAACTGCTATAAAACATTCTTTTGAAACAACCGCAACGCAGCCTCGAAACTGGCAAAAAACTTCTTCAATGGTCCGCATATCGCCCTCGAAGCTGGCAAAAATCCCTTTCTACACGCGTCCTCTATAGTATATAAACGGACTTCCCTACTTACATTGCAGCCAGATTTGATAACCAATGGTAACAATTGGTAACTCGATGAACCAATCAAACTTGTCACATGGCGTGTGTTTTCTTACGTACACCACACTTTAGACGGAATTATCTTTTTTACAATTAAAAAGCTACATTTCCTCTAAACAAGTACATTAGTCTCTTTTAAATTAAACGAAACCCAATAAATGAAATCCAAGCTATAACAAATGCAATGAACAAATTGATAGCGGAAAAAAATTAAGATATATATTTTCTTAACCTTATTACTTCTAGGAAATACGGATTCTTTTACAATGAAGTAAACAAACAAGATACTAGTTTGTCGAATACTCAAGTGATAATGATCACTATAGCAGATAACATACCTGGGAAAGGAACCCGGTAACAGGATTCCCATAGAAATACAATACAGAATAGATGATATGATGTGAAATGTTCCCGAAGGAATCACGATTACATCCAGTTATCATCCATTAAAGTAAAATAAATGAACGAACTCGTCTGTACATTTTTATTGCCATCAACCGACTGCGCGCGTTCTTGTGCGCGACCTTTTCGTCATCTCCTGTTACATTGTACATATACAAGTAAATTAACTTAAACACTACAATAATCAATTTCAAATTTGCAAGAACATGTAGTATAAACTAACCTAGATTAAGGATAGCAAAACTCATTCACGTAAATACGTTTAGTTTTCGGCAATTTTAACTTGGTGCCTCTGGAATTTCATGAGATTTCCACATCTTTCGTAAAAGTTTTCCGCAATCCCCATGGTACCAATTCACACTGAATGCACATTCAGTCAGACACTCCCTATGGTTACATTGCATTCAACGCAAAAACGGAACGTTACAACTTTCAAGAAGCTCAATTGATTGATTTATTTGCGTTCAAATTAAGTACACCCCTTTATTTATTGTTTACTAAATACTGCATACTCTCAAATCAACTTCCATTTTAATACTTCCTTTCGAGTACTCAAAACGCTCAATAATGGAAAAGTCCCTGTGGAGCAAGATTAGTCTTTTGCTGTAGGCGATTTTTAGATAAGTGAACTTTACTGGAAAGTTGAAGACAGAATATTCGCTTGCCCTTTTTAAATTGAATTCTAAAGATAACAACTTAATAATTGACGGAGTTTCTGCCTATACGCATTACGTATCAACGAACGGCTGACGTCTATACAAAGCTTGTCTTCAGTCCATGCTTTTACTAAACGCGAGAAAAATATGTTTTCCTTTAATGCGAAAATGATAAATTCGATCTTCCGTAAAAGGTAAACTGAGGTTATGTTGTAACCACATCGTACACGTCCGCTACGGTTTTCAACCCACTCCCATATTATATTCGAGGGCATTGTGCCGAAATATTGCTTTGAGGCGTGATCTTCATATAAAGTTCTATTCAATGGCAAAATGGGCTATTTGAGAGAGTCCTTTATGTGTTGTTAAACTCTCAGATAACGGAAAACGTCGGAAAATTTGGTTGGATAAATTTAGATCAGAAATTAAACTTACCTTTAGTGCCACATTTTTTACAGTTTATATGAATCTCTTGAAGGTTTTCACCTTTTACAGATAATGAAAGGTGGGTAGACTGATTCAGAAGATAGCCAGTGAATGTACAGTTTCCTTCATCTGTCAGTATAATATCTCTAGCTGCTCAGTTATTGTTAAATCTAATTAAAACAAAATTTTCAAGATTAATATACAGGGCATCTAAAACGATGAGGATAATCTGCTGAAGGAAAGATGCCTCCTTAATTTGAATTATTCGCCTAAATGATACTTTAATCTATACTATATTTATTACGACTGCGCAAGCCATTCCCCTTATCCCATTCAGTCTATTCCAATATTGTTCCTGCAATGAAAGTTGCGTGGTATAAAGCGAATTTCTTAGCGTAAGTGGTTGAATATTTGCTTCTTTATATACATATTGCTATGTAAAATTGCAATCGCTCAATTAAACTCATTTAATTTAAAGAACTTCCACTCTAACAAAGTTTTTATATGGTCAATTATAATTTTTCCAATGCCACGAATAATGAGATTCTCAATGTAATTACAACTTTTGGAATTCTCAGTAGCCTTGGACACCTCCCCAAAATTCTAAATAATTGAATTTAAGTTTATTATTTAAACACATGGCATAACCCTGGATACTAAGAGAAAAAATTATAATGAAAGCTCTTATCTGGGACGTAATCTGGGTTCAATTAAACACAAAGCTGATCATTTACACACAGTACAAATTTATTCGACAAAAAACAATTAATAATGCTAAAAGAAAAAAGGCACTCAGAGCCAGCAAACAAAGTGCCACGCACTCGACTGAAACAAATTGGTTAAACAAAGTTTTCATTACCTTATACATATAATAATCCATAAATCCGGTTCCGGTCTCCGATTTTCTTTCACAAATGTACAAACAAAAGTACTCACAAAATGGTGTTGCCTCCGACTCTCCCTATGTTTTTCAATTTATAGTTTGTTGGCGTAAATGAAAGGGGGCATCTTATAATAAAAATTGAATATTGCTCTTTAGTGATAGATGTTTTAACTTAACGATCACTTGAATAACCTTTTAAAAAAGACTCGGTTTTACAATACCGCTCACAATAACTGACTATGTGAACAACAATGGGCTTAATCGAAGTATAAACTATTCTCTGTAGTACTGACAACTGAACTAACTTCTCACACCAAACTTCTTATATCCACTAATTATTCCAGATATTCCAGATGGTAGTCTAGTTGTAACAGAAATAACGAAAGCACTGTGTGAATAATAACAGTCAACAGTTTGCTACATGCAGAGCATCGATCAAATTTTCTAGACTCACATTGAAATTCAGTAGTAAAACGGTATTAACCTTGAGCTCTAATTTCAGTCGAAGCATAATTCGCAAAATTCAGATGTCCACTTCCTTTACGGAGTTTCGAAAAATCGCTCACCTTGTTACAGATGTGAGAAATAAATAGAACCACTATCCAGGTACTATTTTCTTTTTCTATTGCCATTTGTTACAAATAATGATTCACTGGCCAACAAACATGTGTCGTCAGCACATTTCGCAGATTTCCTTCTTACAATTTGCTTCCGTATGACCAATTTCTTTACATCTATGACAACGGAATTTAAACACTTTTAAGCACCACTTGACTGATAAATGCTTTCCAGTTTGACCTTATTGCATTAGAGGTTTCTAGGAAAGTGCTAATGGTGGCATACTATGGTAAAATCCAAAGCACACTTTCCTATAACATACTTTGTTGGGGCACGTAACTAGTTCAACTGACGTATTCCGTATTGAGAGATGAGTAGTGCGAGTAATAGCGGGACTAAGATATCGTGATGACTGTAGAAATGCCTTTATCGACTCGAAGATACTTACTCCTCCTTCAATACATGCGTGAATGTGTTGTGTTAGTGAGTAATTTTTGTAGGTTTGCCTATTTATAAAACATAACACCAATAAATTATTACTATTACTATCAGCTTTTTCCCAAGCTAAAACGGCGGCCTCCGATGCGGCGCCTTCCGTATCCACGACAGGCTTCGCAGTTTTATTTACATGGTTCCATGTGCCGTTCTTAACTAATAGAGCTTCCATCTGCATTTTTCACATATAGTAATTTTCTGTGTTGTGAGTCAATTCGTACCCCATTTCCGGCACTCATTGCTTCAACTACGAACGGCAAACCAATGTCCCGCTACCGACTACAAATTGTCAGTTATCACTCTGGACGCATAAGGAAAATGGCAAAGGTATAACGCTGTGGTTTGCAAGCAGTGATATTTATTAAGAACTGCTGAGGGTTCAAACAAATACAGGTAATTAGAACTAACAATAATATGAATGTTGGCGTGCAGTCATAATTATTGTCAATCTCTATTATGAATTAAATATGTAGTACCAAAAATATTCTATAACTTCTATACTATTACTTCTATTACACAAAACTCTACAATATAAATGTACCTCGCAAGCGAAATTTGAACAGTAATGACTTTCTTCCGTCACTCTGAAAAAACCGGAGACAAAAAATTTAATCTTGTACAAGCACCCTGTCTTCTTTGTAATAGCCACTCAAACTGTACTCACTACTAATTAATAGCTACAATATTATTTAATAAACCTCCGTATTTCCCCTGATTTAGTTATTACTCATAGTCGCAGTCCCGCCGTCACTGTACTACAAAGGAACTTAGTCTAATCATTATTTCAAACCCCACCCATTTTAATAACTTCCCATCGATGTGGGCGGTTGTTCTCCTTTTTATTATTCCAGAGATTTTTCAGGCCCTTTGCGAGGTCAAGCGCTTATTACTATTTCCGGCACGAATTGGATCATTTACATAGTGTAAACATGTCGCTATTAAATGTGACATGAAGTTTAAAATCAAAACTCATTTTTTTGTACGTGCCTAACACATTTTATTTGTTTTCAGGTTGTGCAGGAATCCATCAGTGACCAATTGAAACCGTATTTATGGTTTGCTCTGCACTGGCTGGCAATGTCGCATGCTTGCTACAATCCCATCATTTACTGTTATATGAATTCAAGATTCAGAGCAGGATTTATTCGAGCGTTCAGGATAATACCTTGCTTCCGTCGATGTTTACCCTCATTTTCTATGCTGCATCCTAAAAATACAAGTTTTCCACTGACAAGTAAGTTAAAGTACGTAATCCATTCCCTATTAATTATTATACAATGTAGATGCTATCAGTGTCTAGCAACAAAAGTTTTGAACATTTGTTTTAGTTAAGACGGGATTGCATTGCTGCTTGCAAAGATGCCGGCATAGAATTCCAGGGGCTTTACCTATTTATTTTCGTTAAATGTTCCCGTAGAATTATGCGGAAGAAAGATTTCGAAGTTTGAAAAGAGTCAAGGTTTCAAGAACATTCCGCCAAATAAATATTATTCGTGTTAAGTTCAAGTTTTTATTTTGTCGATTGTAATAGTAGCGAGCTTCCGTAATCTTCCCACGTTTGTCTATGAACTATTTGTTCTACGGTGTGTTTCTGACTTTGGTTTTGAATTACACTCTGGAAGTACGTCGTATTAAGTCACTTATGCAACTCTGTAAATTAAGCACAGCTTGATAAGCTGACAAATTCAGAATCCGAAAGTTAGTATACAGTCCTGAAAGTCTGATAAACCAATGAAAATTTATAAAATACCGCCACCATTGAGTAGGTGTTAAAAAATTACAGTAAGTAGTTAGAGAGGGGAATATTTCTCACAAAATTAGGGCAGTTGAGCTGAAACAAAATTCTAATAGCGGTCCAGAGATTAGAAGGCGTTGAGATAAAAAGGCCCAGGTAGATTAGCGTTCGGTTAACCGAGATTAAAAACACAGTTTAAGTCAATTCAGGGCGACCTCGTAGTCCAGTTAAAAAGCTTTTTGAAAAATCAGCATTAGTTGCGAGTAGTCCAGTCCAGAACAAAAGTACGGTGCGTAGAAAGCATCTTATGGGAACGTGAAAAATTCAAAAGTGTCACCATTGGGGTGGTTTAAAAAGGGGAAGGTCATTCCATTCAGTACTCAGCGTAAATCGAGCTTTTATGTTGTATTCGCCAGTTAGCTAAAGGGTGTCATTTCACAACAAAAAATAAAATTTATTACGCCAAGGGATATTTGTGTACACCACTGTGGGAGTGCGAAGTATTTTATTGTATCCTATTTAGACAGGAAGAAACAGTATGTTTGTCAAAGATCGAAAGTTCTATTCATGGCTGTAGGTAGAACATCACTAGCTCTAAAAACTTTGTATACCTAATGACATAGAAAAACAAAAAATGAGACATTGCCACATTTCTAAGATTGTAAGTATTCGGGGCTCTTTCATAAATGGGAAAATTAGTTGTTTATACGTTTTACTGAACTAATATTGTATTACAAACATTCCTTATAATAATGGCACTTTCGTTTGACTGTCCCTCCATCTGTTCATGTACCTTTGAGTGGATTGATATGAATTAAATATTGATATTTATTTTATAAACTAGAGAAAATGCGCTTTGTTTACTGTACAGGATTACAGATACTCGTTTTGTATAAATGTTGAGTTCTGAGCTTACAAAGATTCCATATGGCCCTGATTGTTTTGTTAATGAACTCAAAAAAAGAAAACAAAAATTATTTTTAATTTTTTTTAATTTATTGCATGGTTGACCATTATAACAAGGAAATATACAGGAATTCATTTTTTAATTAATTTTGAAACTGGCACAAACAAACTTCCGAGGAACTGGAGATCTGATTAGAGTTATGGCTGACACCGTTAAATACAGAGCTAAAAAGGATTTTTACTTTTGAGTTTTCTGAAATCAAAATTAGAGGAAGTAGAGTTTTGTACCCCTCCCCCCTCCTCAATAGTAATACTTTCCCTAATGGAACTATGTGGTAAACTGTCCAACACAGCTCCATTTGAATTAGTTTCCCTTAGCCACCTGTTGCCGAACAAAATTCGAAAATTCGTTTTCGTTGTGAAGTTATTTGACGGCAGAATGGACACACAAACAGAACGAAATCAATAGTATGCCAATCGCATTTTTCAGCTAACTACTTTAGAACCTTATTTATACAGCATTTGTATAGCGATTTGAATGCGAAATTGTGGAAATTCAAAGGCTTTTAAATATCTGAAGCATTGCACGAATGCAAATTTAATACAATTGCGCAACTAATTATTTAAGCAATCGAGCACCCACGATTAAACTTAATGAACCTCTCAGTTGAAGTTTATTAGACGTTTGGAAAGCAATGAATTCATGAGGTCTAGCTAGAAGAGTGACTGAAATGTTAATTAAGAAACTAATTATATGATTTCGCATAATAACTAATCATTCGTAACATTATGAAGATATATGACGAAAATAATATACCTTTGAATAGGTACAACTTTATTATCAAAGACACTGCCTCGGGAATGTAGAAATAGGTACTGCGTCATAACACAGATGCAAATTGTCCTGATATACGTCAGAGAATTTAACTGAAATTAAGTACGCTCGCTGGGCAAATAAGTTTGCGAGTAACGTACATAATTGTTCAGACTAACCCAAGAAAACTTGCTGCCATGAAGATAGTGTAAGTTCGGGGTTATCTATTAACATTTCACATATTTTTAATCCGAAAGGTGTGATTTTGTCAATATAAAAAGGCACTCGCACTGCCTCAATGTTTCATAATTTTCACCTCGCCAATATAAAATTGAAAGGTTATTGTAATCACTCAAAATACTGATTTTGAGATTTTAACGTATCTTTACGTTTTAAGGTCTCAGGAGTATATAGTTTTAAAAAAATGCGTACAGCATGATTTTTAATCCGAAACTGCTCGATCGATTTGGTTGAAATTTGAAACAAATGTTCCGTTAAATGGTCTTTGAGCGCTGTCAAGATTTTTTTCTGAAACTACTTTAGAATCAACTACTTTCGTTTCGTCTGTAAAAAGGGCGAAGAAAATGGGATTTTCCTCTCTAGTGAGGAAAGTAGAAAACAATTGCTACGTTAATCTTAATAATGACATTTTATATTGAAACATACCCGTATCTAGATTGCTATGTGTTAAAAGTTAAACTGCATTATTGCATACGATAACTTTTCAATTTTAATTGTAGTTTCAGAAAAAATCTAGGAAAAAATTATGTGTACAACTTGAGAAGAAAGTGTTTTTGCACGGTGGTGTACTCTAGAAACGATCAAAAGCAAAACATACACGTTATAAAATTACCTAAAACACTGTGAGGTAAACCATTACCACTTGATATACGAGTATATGAATATTTGTTTCTGCCAAGTTTGATAAAAAAAAATCGCGACTCCTTCTTGGTGTTACGATTTCCACATCACTGAGTACCTATACTTGAGGGTTTAATGCAAAACTTCAATATAAGATTTCCATGCTCTTGAGGGGACGTACAGAACCTTAGATTTGTATCAAAATTTAACTGTAAGGTTCGCCACAAAATTCGATTATGGAAAGTTTCACTATTGAGCGACTTTTCACAACGACCAAAACACTCCTAGCTCTCATTTATTTTTTATAGTGTTATTATTATTAGGTTCCACCCAAAACCTTATTACAGATTTTTTCCGAATCTTGAGGTACTGTCGGGAACTCTAATCGAACTCAGAAATTCTAGCTAAAAACGGTCCCAAAAATCCACTTAATAGTGCGAAACTTCATTAGAAACAGTTTTTAAGACTTATGGCCGTTTGCACCGATAAATTTAAGTGATGCTTAGCTTAAGCGTAGCTTAAAATCCATGGCAACGATTATTGAGACAATGGTTGCCATGGATTTTAAGCTACGCTTAAGCTAAGCTCCACTTAAGTTTATCGGTGCAAACGGCCATAAATAGCTTTTTATTAGACGATGCCAGTCAATTCTATCAAGATAATTATGACCTACCTATTAATACGAGGCGAACGTCTCAATTATAAACGTAATGAGCACGTACAAAGTGCCATGGTAACTTCATAGAGAAAGACACAGGGCTAATCGTTGATGAGTAGTCTCAATGAACAATCTGCCTTGAGATGAATATGAATATTGATATCGACAATAAAATAGCGTTTGATCAGAAAATGTGGCAAGATTTAATATGGAAAAGAACGCGTACTTGCAAATTACTGTAATTGTATGGGAATAATGAAGCTGTTATTTTTTATAGCACGGTAGCACGGCTCTCTTCACTTCAGACAAGACAACATCTGTTCTCCTAGAACGTTTTTCTCATATTTTTAATCTAATCCGCAAGTGCTTAAAAATGTCTGTCAAGTCAGTTTATAGTGTATTTCAAGAAATATAGGTGATATTTATAATTCTTCTAATAACTGAAGTTCTTCTCATTTATTGACTATTTGTACCTTCAAAGTACTGCACTTCCTCGTTTACAAACTTTTCCCAGGAATATATCCACTTTGTAAAACATTCCTGATAAATTTCTTTCGTAATGCTCTTACATCTTGTGGGGAAATTGTTTTTGTGGTGAAGAAACTAGATTGGATAAACAACTAAGAAGGAACGACAATGCGCAATGCGGAGCGGCCCATCCCACACGGATCCCCGAGGGAAAACTTACACTTCAAGGTTGCATTTCAGATGGTGTATAGTTGGTTGCCTAAGTGGCTTCCGATTATCATTACGTTTGTCGATGATAGCGCGTATCATGTATTTTATACATTAGTCTCTCTACTCATCGCCTACGTAAACCCGATCAATCCGAGGGTATTATTTCTCAACGCTGGGATCACGTAGAAAGTTACATTTTATCTTATTTAACATATTTTAACACCTACATCTGCCGAATTAAGTTTACAAAAAATTATTATTATCGCTGCAAGTAGGTTGCTCCAATTTAAGCAAGGAACACAATCATGAGAGTTTAGGGCGACTGTAATCATCTAGGCATCTTTCACATATTCATTTTTATGAGAAATACGGGAAAGTATACCGCAGTTATTGTTTGGTAGGTATATAAAGTAAAAAGTCGATCAGTTGGAGATAGGGTTTTTAATAAACAAAAATCCCCACTCAAGCAAACAAATAATGGAAACAAATTCTTATTATTGGCCAAGCGAGAAGGAATCAATTTTCGTCGTAAAAAATATGTAAATTAAGATTTCAAGATTAATAAACAATGGTTTGAATAAACAGTCAAGAAGGAATGTTTTCTACCAACTATTGCCATCTTTCTTACCCTCTATCAAAACAGGGGGTGGATAGGGGGGGCTGGTTTTATCCTGTATGGTACTCTAATCAAAGGTCTCAACGAGAGGAATTAATTCTAGAATTAATTTCTACCAACAATAATCCTCCTCCTCGGCGCCTTATCGTAATCTGATATAATTCCTTATAAAGGGTTTTTCGTTAAGAACGCTCGAACTTTGAAATGAAATAAAACAACCTATTTAAGTTATATTACCACAATTTTTATAATATTTCAAAGGATATTCGATGACATTATGTATGGAAAATAATTTCGGCCAAATGGCCCCCGCGACTCCGCTGTGCATGTTGTATTCTGGTGGACCAATTTTTGGACATCTTCGCTTAAACTGGGCTCAATTTCAGAAAGAACTCGAGTTATGCTGGCATTTAGGGCAGTAATTGACTGTGGTTTTTCTGCGTAGACTAGGGAACTTAACTTTATATGGATGAATACCCAAGTCTAGGTGCAAAATCTGCCAATTTGACGTCCCAGAAAGACCCAGTTCTTGCGCACGACGCAAAATGAACTGTCTGGGGTTTTCTCGCATACTGTCCCGAACGGCAATAATATTCTCCAACGATCTTGCATTTCTTTGACGCACAGGAACTGCTTCATCAACCACTGACCCCGTTGTCTCAAATTTTTTTATTAAACAACTGATTGTGGTATCTGCAGGACGGCCATGAAAGCCATAAATTGCACGCAACGCACAGAACGTTAGGCGAACGCAGCACTGATTTTGATAATCAATTTTAACAATTTCTACGCGTTTTTGAAGGGAATAGCGTCCCATGGTGAAATGAGAGGACTAAATAAGTACTCATGCCAAATTTGACAGCATATCTAATGATAGAGTCAAAACTTTACTGTTACTCACAGAGTGATTGAGGCTTAGGGCTTAAGGCTTTGTCAGCATAAAAGTTGTGCATAATTTGTACCTGTTATATCATTGAGTAATTTAATCCTTCACTCAACGGTTATATATCATTCTCATTACCCATCGCCTATGTACATCCTTTTAATCCTAGGGTATTATTTCTCAATGCTAGGATCATGTAGAAAGTTACATTTTATCTTTTTTACTATATTTTAACACATGTACACTTGGCGAATGATGTTTGACAAAAATATCTACGTTTTTCGTTTTTGCTTGCTAAACAAATTAACTGTAGTTAACTGTAGATATGTTATACAATTATATGGTATTTTAGTAGGGGGTTTGCGCATGTGCGAACCGAACCAACGAGGATAATTGGTAATAGATTTTGAATTAAAGTAATCGCCTACATTAAAACCTGAAAAATACGCATTAGACACTCACACGAATGCCACGGTTTCACCACTTCTTACTCTGCTTTTATTGTTATGCAGTTTTTGTGAAAACACCGTAATTATTTCACGGTTGCCATTACATGAATTAGGATTATTCAAGTACTCGTAGCGCAGATTTAGGTCAATATAGATGTGTACGTAGGTATATTAAGACAGTTATTTCTATAATTGCAGGTATGGAGAAAACCGAAAGCAGCCTTCTACATCGAAGCAGCACTTCGAAAACACTCAACAGCACAAGAAGGTCGACTATTATTAATAGTACGGCATCATGTAAACAGCTATCGGCAAAATCCACATCCTTTGATGTTTCTAATGATTATGAGAATGGCGAAGCAAGCAACAAGTTATTTAATGTAGAAATAACTGAACGGAATTAATTGTAAATTAATCATCCTTTAATTAGACTAAGATTTCGTATTTTGTACATACAAAAATTCTATGGTATGTAATGTTTGTATGTAACCATTATTCTTATATGTATGTCTCTTTGAATAGACGTATGTGATTAGTGGTACATGTTAAAGAGAAATAGATTTTGTCTTTCATGTTACGAAGAGTTGCTTTTGTGTGTGTGTAATGAAAAAATCAACGACATGAAGCCCTTGAATTAAATACTTGTATTCAGGTTCACGGTAGAATACGTTGACAAGACACCGTGGTCTGTCCACAATCATAACATGTGCAAAACTGAATAAATCAGGCATCGATAAATTAGTGAACATTGAAAACTTAAGTAAGTTACATTGGTATTAATCCTTGAAGAGGAAATTAACTACTTACTAATTACAACTTGGTTAATTGACCAATGAAAATAAATAACCCCTTGCTCAGTTTTTGTTATCTTCGCTCCAAGCGTCGTCTGTAGGTTAACTAGGCAAGATGTTATCTTTGCGCTCACGATGGCGTCGAAGGATAGCCGTCAAGGTCAATTAAAGCTGGAACTAATCACTAAACGTGGATTTTTTTATTTCGCCCCTTGTTGGGCGATAATTGTAACTCTACTAAGTCTATCTAACAGTTTGTCTCTAATAATTAGGTTTAACAGTGTTATGAATGCAGTCCTAGTGCGCATTTCATGAATTCACTTATTCCCGTGTTTACTCTGCTTTTATTTTAGCACTTCTCACTTAAACTAGTTCGATCAGTTTCACTCTGTTGAACCTCCGCACTTGTTGGTTGTTGTCAAGAAGTTGCGGATGAAACCTTTCTTCATTAATTATTATCATACCTCAAATTAATAAGAGGGTTATTAGAAAATAATATTGACAATGAAACGTCAAAAAGGCAACGGTTGACAAATAAATTGATTCCCACTGCGAATGGCCCAATATCTTTTCGGCTTTCTTTTATGACGACAAATTTAAGCGGAGCTTAGCTGAAGTGTAACTTAAAATCCATGGCAACGATTATTGAGACAAAGGTTGCCATGGATTTTAAGCGACGCTTAAATTTGTCGGTGCTTACGGCCATAAGAAATTTATTTATTTTTCATTTGCCTATTATATGTCAATTATATCTGTCATATGTGATATATGAAGCAGTCTATTACGCCCAAGGGCATAATGAGAGGGCATAATGGATTGTCATCTCATTATGCCCTCAAACGGCCTGTCAAATTGATTGACGGAGTTATATTATGTCATAAAAAAGATGCAACTTGATTCGTATGGAGCACTTTAATGTTGGGCAAACAATAATCATGACATTTGTATATTGGAAATGCATTCTTTGGAATGATGAAAAATAAAATGTTGTATGCACCTCAGGCATTACTCAATATTTAACCCTCGGGCGACTTACAATCTCTCTCTGTCGCCCTCGGCATAAATATCGCCTTAATGCCCTTGATGCATAAATAACTATTATAGCCTCCATATGAGAGATGAGTTGTATCTTGATCAAAAACTAATTCCGCTACGCGTCGTGCCCTTAAACTCGTTGCGCGTGCTTTAAAGACTTGATTATACACTTGTTTCTTAATATACTGTTACACATTTCACGTTTTGATCGTTTCTTATCCCATGAAAGCATTTAAAATTATACCAAGTATCCTCATAAAAGGACGACAAAACAATGACGTTTAGATCAACTTAATTGTCAATTTATACATATGTGCCTTTGTTGTTTGTTATTTGTTGTTCTTGTTTGGTTGATAGTTTTTAATTTCGATAGGTATGTGCGCTTCTACAACGGCATAGGTTTAAACAACCAGGATTAGCCTTCTCTCGGTGTTTCAGCCGTTGGCTCATGGGCAAGGGTTTTACGAGTATATATTTTATTTTTATTGTTATTTTGTTTCTTTTCTTGTCGTGAAGGAGTCCCTTACGTAAGTGCGCGAAACGTTGACTTTTCGTTCAATATTGACACGGTGTTGCTCGCATCTTACTGACTCTGGTCTTCCACTCTGACAAGATAAATATTAGTTACTGAAATTCATACCGACGTTTGAATGAAAATGAAAGCGAAGGAATATTCATTCCACAGCGCAATTCTTAATAAATTCTACAAAAACAGCACCGTGATATTCATTTAGGTAATTATTCACTCTGTAATCCTGATTGTTTTGTGCAACGTTGTGCCCTGAATAATGCGAATTCATGATGGGGCATAAATAAACCTTTCTTTCTAAATAAGCAGACTCACCCGAGAGCTCAATGTTAGGAATCATACGGACAATAAAGTGAAAACGAATGTGTAAATAAACAATATCCTCTGTAAGGACAACGTACAGTTGAAATGTGAAACAGCGATAAAAGCAATAGAGGTGATAGATGTTGCTTTAGGGAAGCCAACAAAAATAGTCAGATACCTTTTATATTTACTTGGACATGTTGCTCTTTCTGGTTACATGGGTCAATAACTATATTTATATTATATTAAGAGGACAAACTTGGTGTTTAATAAAGACCTTAATCTAAACGTTAATGTCAATTTCAATTTTGTAGAAACGAGATACCAAGTCGTGTTACGATTTTTACAGTATGATATTCAATGTCAGTTTAAAAATAAGATTCTTCTACAAGACCACTGTGCAAAAATGAGCATTCAAAGACCGCTGTGGAGACAACCAAAATTTACAATTGAATGTAAGATCTAATCAGTAAATCGTGTTTGCCATTTCGTAGTTTGCAGTATCTTTTAATACAGCTTTGCTTCAGTTCACGAAACAAACAAACTAATTTGTGTATACATTTCTATTCTGACAATCTTCCTTCGGTAATCCTTATGTAAATAAACATGGACGTGGCTGAGGAAGCGGCTTATAATAATTGTAAAAAAAAGTTTTCAGAGGAAACATAATAAATCATTACTGCAGTGAGAAAACAAAGGTGACAACTAACTTAAACAATATTATTTCAAAGGAATATACAAACAGGATATGATAAATCACATACAAATTTCAGTAGGGGAATTTTTTGTCACTCCGCTCGCATTTGGAAACCAGACTTTTAATCCGGCTCTTATTCATTAGCACTGATCCTTCAACTCGTAGAAGTCGATTGGCGAAGGTTTGACATCGCTGTCTGTTTTCATTTTCGAGAACTTTTACGAAGAAAAGTCAAAAAGACAAACAACCAAAACCATGACATAAGGAAAATTTATTTCGAAAAATTCCCCTAAAGATGTATAGTGGGTTACGTTGGTTGGGCAGTCTTGACTGAAACCTTGCTCATGGGCTGAGAAAACATTTCAGAATTTGACCTTGAAATCAATTGACATCAATTTAATTCAATATTTACAGGTTAAATAGACCGATTAATTTTAAAAAACTAGTTGACACATATTCAATTTATACTCCGCATTTGCACTAAATTGCATAAAATGAGTATACACTGACTTTCATTGAAATCGAAGAATCCTACTAGATAGCCTTGTATGAAATAAAATAGAAATTTATTGCTATCGTTAATTGCTGTTTGATGTTTATAACTGAAAGTGTTTCTAAGAATAGACTAATCTATATGGTTTATTTTATTAGGGTGTGGACGTTTTACGTGTACGATTGCATCCTAAAACGTCAAGCGCTCTTTCCCGGAATCCAATTATTGATGGTTATTATTGTGAGAAATGTTCAAAAAAACCACGTAACAAGTCGAACCAAATGAATCGTAAATAGGGAAAGTAGGTGTCGTGGGGTGTGAGCTAAGGGTGGGGGAGGGGTTAAAGGTCCCTTTTTTTTTAGTTTTTCGTGAATAATTGAAAACGATTGCTCCTAATCCAAATTTTGCTCTAGAGAATTAAACAGCATAAAATTATCTACAAAATGATATAGCACAGTATATAATAATAATAATACTTAATGAAATACAGAGGGAAGAAAAATCAAAAATTTTAAAATAGTCGTAATCTTTGAATATAGACTATACTAATCAAAGGTCGTAATACACGGCAAGTCTGATTCCGATTATGTTACGTTGGCGAGATTGTGTGGGCAGGAGTCAAAATCGTTATCGTCGTCGTCGTCATCGATGGCATCGTTCGGGGCTCCATTCGTGCACATGCCAAGGCAATTGCCGCAAGCGACGGAGCAAGCAATGCCTGTTTTGCGGCAGCCACACCTGTACCCAGTTGTACATCGGCAAAATATTGTGTTAAGTATCGCCTCGGGTGCCACTGGATCATTTGTGGTTACTGGGAATAATACCCCGTCTTCTCCTTTGGCACAACCCCATTGAGTGGGCGGTAAGGGGTTTTTGTATCTGTAAAAAATCACAGACCGCTCTCTTTTTTCCTAAAACTGTCTACTTGCTCATCTTTTCTCAGAATACTAGATCTTACTAATCCATTGATTCCTTTTTTCCCCACTTGACATATATTACAGTCAACATCATCCTCGCAAATTAAACACTTATCAGCCATAGTTAATCATGTGGCATCAAGTAAAGTAAAACACAAGTCAATTAAACACACTAGCTTAAAGATGCTCAACTTATCTTAAAGACTCACTAAAGACAATGAAACTGAATGAGTTCGTTCGCGTCGTTGCATTTGAATAGATGAACAATAGGAGCCTCATAGCCTGATTAGAGTGAACTAATGACGTCCTTGCTGTCCACCAGCATGCACTGACCTCTCCGTGGATCTCCACCATCCCGCCTACGTAATATAATCGTATTCGGGATCCCCGTGTGCGTATCGGTTAAAATTTTAAAAATTTTGATTTTTCTTCCCTCTGGATCTCATTAAGTATTATTATTATTATATACTGTGCTATATCATTTTGTAGATAATTTTATGCTGTTTAATTCTCTAGAGCAAAATTTTTAACTAGGAGCAACCGCTTTCAAATTATTCACGAAAAACTAAAAAAAAGGGACCTTTAACCCCTCCCCCCCCCGCCCTTAGCTCACACCCCACCCCTCAGTACTTTCAGTATGTTGTTCAGGATACCTTCCCCTACATGTGTGCCAAAATTGGCTTCTACATGATTTTTTTCCTCTATTCAGCCTTTTTTTGGGTTTCGTTGCCTGGACTAAAAAGGTAAAAGGGCAACGTGTTTCATTCCTCTGGCACCCCGAGGGATACCGGAGGCGGGCTGCTCTGGGTTTCCTGACCCTCTTCAACCAGAAACGGGAATGTAAGGATAGGTAAAGTTAAGGATGGGAACGGAAGGAATGGGGTGCTGAGAGGGAAGAGTACTGCCCCAGAATCACACAGAGCAGTCGGCAGCAGGCATCGAACCCACAACCTTCCGAATAGCAATCGGCAACGTAACCACCGCGCCACCGGGTTCCGTTCTGAATTTTGTATGCCGTTGTATGTCTTTTATACCCCATTTCTGTGGGAATAAACCCTCAAGGTTCTGGTATGGAACTTATAAATTTATAGTGGGTTGGGTTGGTAGAGCAGCTGAAAGCCAGCCTACTTAAAAATAAAGGTCAAACTAAAGGAACAAAAGGAAACGGGCATAGATAATTTATTTTGTGAAGGGGTACGTGCATCCGGTCAAATCGGGAGTTGTTTAAAACTGAAAATGTTTTTGCCATGAAGGGGTACGTGCATCCGGTCAAATCGGGAGTTGTTTAAAACTGAAAATGTTTTTGCCATGTAATAATTTTCTCAGCTTGTCGTTTTAATACCATTGCATAATATTACTCCATTGTACGTCGGCATATAAATTTCACGGGTAATGTTTTGGAATTTATTGAACCACGGTCTGAAATGATTTTATGATTGCTACTGTAATCAGCGAGACAGTACATAGTGCATATCGCTGTCATAAATTAATTGATGCAATAACCTGAGAAACAATTATACACACAATTACGAAGCAATCATTGCAGTCAAGTTCTATAAAACTAAATGAGCAGTTTTAGTTATCTTTTTATAGTTTTAAGAACACCACCGTGAAAATGAAAATGGATGTAATAATTGTTTTTTTTCCACTACTTTTTTTAAGTATTCCTTGCAAATCGAATGCACAAAGCGAAGATTCTTTAAAGTTGGTGCATGTGGTAAGTACATCATCTAACGAGACACGTTAAATAAGTGGGCTATTTTGTAGCTCTTTCGACATGGTGACCGTACACCCTTACGTATTAAATATGCAACAGATCCATACAGAAGGGAGAAATACTTTCCTTACGGCTATTCGCAATTGACCAATGTAATGACACACAAAATCGCACTCGTAATTATTTCACCTTTTTAGACGGGGAAACAAAGATCTTACAATTTGGGGAAATCTTTGAGAAATCGGTATGATGAATTTCTTAGTAAAACTTACTGGATGTCGGAAGTATCAGCATATACTACAGATACTGGCCGCAGTAAAGCCACTTTGTCTCTCGTATTAGCTGGTTTGTATCCCCCCAGGGGAACTCCCTTGGAATGGGATCTGCAACTAAACTGGAATCCAATAAATTATGAAGTTCTGCCCAAAACGCAGTCGGTAAATACTAATCACGTCTTAATGATCGCATCAAAAACATCTTGCAGTTATTAGTATTGCCCAATGAGAAATGTGAAAACTTCTTCAACGCCCTTACATCGTACATGAACACAAGTGAAGCTAAGAAGATTATGACAAAATATGACGATATCAAGGAAATAATGGAAAACAATACAGGATTAAGCTATAATGATCCTTTTATGTACCTAATACTATATGATTATATTATTGTCCAAGTATGACTCCGGTTGACATGTTAGTGCTCTTTATCAACATACTTATTGCAGGAAGAACAAGGCTTAGATCGACCTAAGTGGATCACACCCATACTGCCAAGACTGGAGCAAGCTTTTGTGGACGTAATGGAGATATTTCGGTCTACTAAGAGTTTACAACGATCTATGATTGGGGGTTTAATACAAAAAATAGCAGAAGATTCCATGTTAAAATTAAAGAATGGGCCAAAATATAAGAATAGAAAATTGTTTATGTATTCGGCACACGACACCAACGTGGCGTTGCTTTTGAATACAATTGGTTCTTCCACCTTAGTCGAACGCCCACCTTACACTGCTGCTGTTATAATGGAACTTCATACTATTAATGATGTTCATGGAATAAAGGTAATCGCTTTTCCTCAGAAACAGTTATTAACTACTATGTTTTTAGGCATTTTACCAACCCTATGTAACTGATAAACCACGTGCCGTATCCATTGGACAGTGCGGGGAATTTTGCCCGTTATACCAATTCATCGGATTATTTAAGGATATCTTTCTTGAGAGCGGTGATTGCTGAAATATAATTTGGACTAAACAGTTAAACCTTCTACCACACAATAAAAATGCCCCAGTCATCCTTTCTTGTGCGCAATCTGCCACTACCACTTCTTTAAATCTGGAATGTGGTTCCTTTGCTCAATGTGGTTCCTTTGCTCAATAATTCTCAAAGTTACTTGTCTTCCTATGATCCGTTAGCACAACGCAACCGTTACCGTGGAAGACGCTTACTGCATAAATTGTTTCGAAATAATTAGTGAACCTAGAACAAATCAGGATTGGTAGCACAAAAAGCCTTAACCAATGGAAATTAATTAATGGCCGCCATTTTTAACGTGTGTTTATTTAGCTAAATATTGCGTAAGAATGACTTTTTGAGAGCTTCGGGTACATTCTCGGTCTGAGATTCAAAGGGACTAGTACGGTCCCCAAAGCACTCGCGGTTTGAAATTCAAGGCGACCAAATAGGTACCAAGAAATTCTCAATTCTTGCGGTTCCGAATAACATAAAAAATTTGTTCCCATAAAAAACGGCCTAACCGTGAAAATTATAATAATTCGATGTTTTTCCGAAAAAAGAAAATTCGTGCTAGATTTGGGTGGTATTAACCGGAATAAACATTGACACAAAAAAGGATGAAATAATAAATTAACGGGAGGTTTAAGTTCCTGTAAATAAAAATTTACGCCCATAAATAAACAAAGATAACTTTCATTACACGAACAGTAAACCCGCCAATTCAAGTGTACGCGATAAAGAACTTTGTAACACCAACCTGAATAAATTGCAAAAATTGACAGCAGAAGTTAGGTATAATTAAGAATTGTAAATCGCCGTACCGACGGAACCTAAAAGGGCCAGAATTATTTTAGTACGCATAGCGTCGCCTGTTAATATAAGAACATCAAATATGTTTCTCGCAGGAAACTATTGCACCAGTTGCAAGGGAAGAAATCTACGAGTATATAATTATCTAGTACCTAATATTCTCTCTTAATCAAATCAAATGCATTGTCAAATAATAAACATAAATTATATCATCTGCTTTAGTCTGACCTCACAAGACCCAACCCACGATGAAACACCTAAGTGCAGATGTGAAAATTTAGATTGATTTTGTATTTTGAACTTTTACCTCGCCTGTCAGTCGGTATTCCAAATCGTGGGAGAATCAAAACAATCAATAAATCCTTGCTACTACTTTACATTAATTTTGATATTACAACATTATAAAAACGTTCATACATGACATTCTGCAAAATTGTAAATGACACTGACCTTGTTTACAGTTTATTTTCGAGATTTTATTATTGCATCATACTGTCTAGTGTTTCGTGCTACTGATTCCCTGTAAAGGTATTACCATTTTTCATTGAAATGGGAAAGTTCATGAATTGAAACACCTTGTGATTATGTCACATTTACATTACTTACAGATAAAAATCATGACGTATATATGATTAAATGATGAAAAGATCTCACGTCCATTTTGCTAAGATTTAAAACATGTAATAAGCAAATTATTTTTTGGTTTTATGACTGCGACTCGAATCATAGCTCTCGAAAATACTACTTGTGCTTGACTGTTATTTAAAGTTTAAATATGTTTGGAAAAACCGCGTTGTATGTGTTCATGTTAACATTTTTTGTGACTGTGAAAGGTGAAATAAATGATGTTACCACTTTGAAATATGTCCACCTGGTAAGGAATTTCAAAAATCACGACATATAAACTTTAAGGTGCTTTCAGTTATTTCGCCATGGGCACAGAACACCATTAAACAATAAGACTTATCCAACAGATCCACATAAAGATGAAACGTTTTATCCATATGGTTTTGGCACACTAACAAATGTAAGGTTTTGCAGAAAATGAATTATTTACCTACAGTTGCCTTCAGGAAGGGAAAAGGGCATCGTATGAACTTGGTGAATGGTTACAGAAGCGCTACAAACACTACTTAGGATACTTGTATTATCCAGAGTTGGTTGAGGCCTTTACAACACCGACTGTTAGGACTCAAATGACTATGGCCCTTGTTTTAGCTGGGCTTTTCCCACCAAAAGGGACTGTGTTGGAATGGAATAAGAATTTAAACTGGCAACCAACCGTATATACAGAGTTGAGCCGTAATGACAAAGTAGGAAAATGCCTGTGTCCCTTTTGAACAATCTGCAACAGGTATCAGGTAACAATTTTCCTCTCGAAACGCGCTTGTTCTTTCGAGAGTATAGTGAATGTTGCAAATTGTTTTAAGAGCTCTTTATAGTAATGGTTTAGTTTTATTTTAAATATGATAGACAATGAGTAAATTCCAGTTATTGTATTCGCCTTTCAACAACAACTGTACCACCTACCACGAGCTTTATAAGGATTTTTTACGGTCAGAAGAAGGTATGAAGCTTTTAAAATCGACCTTTGGTTCACATAATTATATAAAAAAAAATACGAAATGGGACAAAGATCCTTTGTCAGTTATTTTCGGCACTATGGACAAACTGGTTATTCAGGTACGTGTGTATTTAATCAGCATGCCTGAAAACGGGAAATTGTAGAAAGAGTTAAAGTTGCCTCTGCCGGAATGGGCTAACGGGATATTTCCAGATGGGCTTACAAGCGATTTTCTTGATTTTCTACAGAGTACATCAGGAAACTCAAAGCTTAAGCAAATGACAGGAGGTAAGCTTGACTTTTTAAAAAAAAATTTTACACAATCCATTCCTCAATATTGTCATAAGAAAAAAACATATTATTTATATGCCTAATGTTGTAGATATTAATGCTTTCCCTTATTCCTTGTGTGCTCTTTTCCAAAATCCTTGTGGGAAACTGGGATAGATCTAATTTATAATTCGGGCATTTTCTTGTATAATTTAAGCATCCCAAAGGACTTAATTTATACAATGTTCCATTAGACGCATGCGAATACATCGCGAACTCACATTCAAATGTATACATGATTAGTATGATTTATTTTACCCAAATCGTCCTGAAACCTTCATTTTCATGCCTACTTTCTGTCAAGAAGTGTGATGGCAAATGTTATAAGCAATTTTGTACTAATCGTACAATACTATCGCATTTTTCGCTATAAGTAAAAGGTGTTAATACTAAGTTGTTACACCCGAAAACGGCAGTTAGAACAGCGAACTTCGAATTCGAAGTTATTGGCGTTCTTTTGTTATTCGAATAATCGTCATAACTCCCTTATTTTAAGGACTATTGAAAAAAAACTTTCAAAACTCTTTCAGCTCTCTAAAACGTTTGTACTCGTATTTGCAATTATTTTTTATTTTTTCAAATAGCAAAATAGTTGATCAAAAATTGCAAAAAAACATTTTTTAATAACCACCCTATTGATTTTTGAAAGCAAAACATTTATAAAACCCGTACACCATCTACTATGTATAACATTGGTCCTAAACATGTTTTCAATTTCGATTTCCAAAATATTTAGGATCTATATCCTTGCTAGTTTTCGAGATCCTTAAGCTGAACCGGACCTTTCAGTCGTTGATTTGTTGCTCACTGTGCAACTCATTTTATATGTTGAGGGGGGGGGGGGGCAGGTAATTAGTTAGGGTTTGTTGTGTAAACGCAGAGCTCGTCGCAGTTGCATGCTTTGCTTCATGGATTTACATCGTGCTTCTCAGCAACTTGGTTTGTTAGTATAAAATGCTCCCTATGCTGAGGTTTATGTTACCATTCCATTGTTTTCATTGCGCTTCTTGTAATACAACGTGAATTTTCATTGCAGGCTATTTACTACAGAAGATTCTAAAAGACACAAATTTGAAATTAACAGATCAATTACCCAAAAAACAAAAAATGAGCTTGTATGCTGGACATGATGTTTCAATTTTTAGTTTTTTGAGCATAATGGAAGTGTATAAGCGACATCGTCCTCAATACACGGCATGTGTTATTGTGGAAGTTCACACTATAAAAAACATAGATAGAATAAGGGTATTATTTACCATTTAATGGTAGAGAGTTCTCTATGGTTTTCTTGCTTTAGATTTTGTACAAGGAAGAATCAAGCAGTAATGAAGCTAAGGTTTTAATTGTACCTGGATGTGAAGAGTTTTGTCCGTTAACGAAATTTACGGAAATACTAAAGGATAATATATTTGATGACGAAATCTGCAGCAAAGATAAACAGTGTTGTAGGTTATAGTCACTTAGACCGAATAGCAAATGAAGGGAACAGTCTTGAAAGATTGAAATTAATTTATGTAGCACTTTTGTTTATGTTTCTTAATTTAGTGAATCTCTATTAATCTAATTATACTAATGATTATTGAACTGTATAATAATAGTCGCAATAATAATACCTACTTAAAAATTACCCTTACTATTAAGCCCAATTAAAACAAATTAATAAAGTAAAGGCCAAAAACCATCAATTTATTGTAGCGAACATTCCAGAAATCTCGATAGAGACCGAAGTGCCACGAAAGATTACTCATCAGCGATCGAAGGTGGATGTGACGCAATTATTCCGGGGAAAATGACGTGTTTATTCTAGATCATTCCAAATCGTTGCGTTTCAGTCAGTTCTAAATTCGATGCGCTTGTGTTATGTTATAAATTGTAATACTTACAGTTTTATAAATTAATCCATTTTAAGACTGTTAGAAATTCATTGTTTATGCCAATAGTGACCAGATCTACGTCAGAAAAAATGGTCGAGATGAGACGAAAGCCGATCAGCAGTCCATGGAAGCTAAAATCGACACTGATAAACAATAAATAAGAGGTATGATTCAAGATGAGATACAGAGTGTCCAAAATGAGATACAGAGTATCCAAGATAAAATTCATGTGGTAGAAAATGAAATGAAAACTGAAATCGACGAACTACGAAAAAGATTTACGAGATACGACTGAACGCGAAAAGAGTAATGTGTCATCTGTGATAACACAAGATCTACCTGCTGTTCCACAATCGTTCCGCAAAGAAGCCGCCGAAACATGAAATATTGGTACGACAAAAGTTCTGGTTAAGCCACCAACATTCATTGCAAAATCACTGTAGTCTACCGACTCGAGAAAACACCTAACGCATGTTCGGCAAATGAATTTGAACTCATTCCCAACCAAGTTAAAGAAAAGCACTGAGATTGGGACGTGTGCCCCAGTCGCTCCAGTTCCGTGTTGTGTCCAAGGGTGATGACCAGAAAGGCATCAACCTATGATCATAGACTCTACAATTGTAAGATGGTTCTTTTAAAAGGGTTCTAGAAAATGACGATGGCACTACAAGAAGCGTGCAGTAAGTGATACCGAAAAGCAGGAAATCTGTGGTACTACTACAGACACACGTTGGTATATCGGGAGGACGTTTATTTAGAAGCGCCGAACACCCTGGTAAACGTGCAGGAACAATTCTACTGGGTAAATTTTGAACAAAATGTGATGGAATAGTACAGAAAATGGGCACCTTGTGCCACAATTAGCGAACCAGTAGGAAAGAAGAAGGTACCAATGTGGCAATACAATATGGGAAGTCCATTTGAAAGAAGATCCATTGATATTGATAGCTGCTGGAAATGAATACGTTTTGGTAGCCATGGACTATTTCAGTCAATCGACAGAATCGACAACCAGCGTGACTGGGACCAAATTTGTTCCTGATGGCGAACCGTTCTGCGGTACAGGAAACTGCAGGACTTCGATTGTCGTGCGATTTGCAATTTGGTACAAGACCCGGTCATAAATAAACTGTGTGCAACGAGTACGTGGAAAGCCCGAGTCAGAAATCGGGTGCCATCCATGATAAAGTTCGCCATAATAATTATGCAGTTGACCCAAGCGGGTGGTTATCATTTTATATGGTAAGACGGTTTTCTTCATTAATGGAGGAGGAGTCTCCGCTACAACGGTCGCGTCGTCCGTGTTGCAGATTACCAATTTCTAATTGCATATCACTGTGTGAAAGCGGACTCTTTGCTGTTAATAGTTGCAACAAATAAAATCCCAGCAAAAAGGCAAATCCCATGGCGCTGTCATCAAACTGACTCCAGTACTGAAAAATTTATTCATTTCCAAAGTTTTTTTTACAATAATATAATAAAAAAGAACATTCAGGCTCACTGATTATATCATTATCCGCATTAAACTTTTAGTAGCTAATTTATATTGAATAAATTCAAAACACTATTGATCCAGTCCACGTACATTCCCACTTTTGTAAAAATTGTAAAAAAGCTTGTGTCACAAAATGACGTCCCTAACCGACGTGGGCTAACACTAACAATACCTTCCAGTACCCACGTTTTGTTCCCATATTTATCAAACACTAGCCCTCCCCCACTATCTCCATTGCACACACCTGTACCTACGTACCACAAAATTACTAGTTACTATCAAAAGGAAACCTTACCATTCTGCCACCCAGCACAAAATGTAGTAAAAGTGACATATTTTTTAAAATCCTGATGTTGTGCATCTATGCAACGGTTGTTTGATACCGCTGGTAAATACGTCGCCTTTAAGGTCTCGCTGTACGTATCATGCTCAGTAATTCCCATCCCCACAATCTTCAAACCACTTTTATTGTACAATACTTTTATAAAATCAATACTAACCATTCCTAGTGTACCATTATCGAGAAACCGAGTGAAATCCTTATCATTCCAGTCGATACACACTGGTTTAATATACTCAGATAATTCTACCATTCTATTTAAAATCAAAATTGCAAGGTCAGATCCATAATTTCCTGTTACATCCTGGTAGTGGGGTTGTATCACAATTGTGGATACGTCGAAAGTGGTAGGAGAATACTTTATCTTTTCGAAGTTTCGAAAGTGCTTTCCTAGCGCAACTTTTAAGTCCGAAGCTTTAATCGACCAAACACAGTGAGCCGCTGTAATAATTAATATTCGTTTGAATATGTGCGAATAAAGTAACTTACTAGCCTGTGATAATGGCCTGCTCGGTTATCAAGCTTCCGCCACACCAGAAAGTCCAGTTTCCATGTTGCAAGCTGTAAAGCGTGGCATGCCAAGGCCACCTTTGCTTTTCAGAGTTCCATCCATGTACAATTAAAGGGGTTGCTAGTGGTGCTGTTATTCCGCATTCTAGCAATCCGTATTAGACCTAAGGTCATTTTACCGTTACTCACCTGGTTCACACAGAAGTTGTCCTCGACTCCACGTACCATCTGGTTGGCATATAGACCGATGGTCTCCCACCTGACGATGCTTTTTTCTATAATAAACCTTACACCTTGAATATGCAATTGCACCTACGGGTAATGGATTTCGACAAGACCTTGGTCCATCCTTAGATTTGCATTTTATGTCGACTCTTTGTGACATAAGTGGCGGACACAGTATTTCTGAAATACCATTCGTCAATTCCTTAGAAATTTTTACTCACAGTACCTTTACGGCAATACTTTCCGCCGAGACAATTTCGTCCATCACAAATCACTTTTGATTCATCTGACCCATCAACGCAATCATTGAAACCATCGCATAAAGTGTCGAATTTAACACATCCTCCATGTTTACATCGATATGTATCTTCTGGGCATACAAAATCATGATTTCTGCATATGTGTAAACTTTCATCGGAATTATCTGAACAGTCGTTAATGGTGTCGCATATCTTTTCTAGAGGAATGCATTCGCGAGATAGGCATTGAAATTCTGAGGTTCTGCAGATCATTTGTGGGTAATGTTATTTGCGTGAAAATGATTTGGACAAAGTACTTACGTGCAACCTTCACTTCTCTCACAGTTGATTTCGTCCGATTTATCTACACAATTATGTACCCCATCACATCGAGCATGTCTCTTTATGCAAGCACCGTAGTAACACCGAAACATATCCTTTGGACATCTATAATATTACTCGGTTAATTTCATCAAATCTGGGTCTGTTGGACTTACATGATATGATGGCACAGCGTTCTTGACTCGTCAGATCCATCAGGACACTGATGTAACCCATCACATATCTCATGCAGTTCTATCTTCGTACCATCGACACACACAAACCCAGTGCTGTTATTTGATTTTACAACTACAAAGTAGACAGTGAAAATATTCGTGAAAATAATGTGCCAGACGAACTTACCTGCCACGTAAAATAGAATAATGATAAACACATACATTGTTAGCACCTATTAGTTCAATAGAAACATTTACATTAATGAATATCACGCCTGGGCACTTATAATATACCTCTTCAAACAAAGGGTCTATTGTATGTCAAGAGAAAATGGACAGTAAAGTCTATAGAAATTATATAAGCATATTCTATTGAAATGGTGCAGAACAAACTATTTATGTTTCACAGAAAATTATTGTTTTATAAAGACGCAGTTTACTAGCCATTTTAGACCTGTTTGTTTTCACTTCATTGTGTGTAGAGGGGCGAAACCCAGACAATCAATATCTAATGAGTATACAATGGGGCATCAGCAACGAAGAAACTTCCAACGTTGGACTCATTGTGAAATATACCCAAAAAATTCTGAAACTGTCGATATAAGTAAGGGCCCTATCTTCATAAGTTCGAACATTAGCATTTAATTAGTGTAATTTCCTTTCAAAAGGAGCGGGTTTTCATCACGTCATTGAAAATGTTTTTTCAGGCCCAGAATTTCAATCGATTTCACCCTATAATTTGGTACAACTTTTAAAGGGATTCGATTTCTTTATTTCTATATTCATGTATAAACACACGTTAAATTTTAAGAAAGAGTCGTTATATACTCTTTTATTTCTAAAATATTTGAAAGAATTTTATACAATCAAATTGCCGAGTACCTTGAAACTAATAAGTTGTTGCATATGGAACGATAGGGTTTCAGAAACCAAAAAAGCACAAGACATGCACTATCAAAGTTTATAAATAATACTCTTACTTGCTTTGAAGAGGGAAAATACTCATTAGCGATTTTCCTGGACCTATCAAAGGCGTTTGATAGTGTCTCACATCATATACTAATGCGTAAACTTAAAGAAATATATAATTTTGACGTAAATAGCCTAAAGGTAATAGAATCGTATCTGTCTGATAGATTCCAACATGTGACTACTAACGGAGTGACCTCTGATAAATTACGCATTAAAAGAGGAGTACCGCAGGGGTCAATATTAGGTCCCCTGCTGTTTCTAATATATTTTAATGATTTTCCTTATTATATAAAACCGTATGCGGACTGCATTCTCTACGCAGATGACTCAACGCTCTTGGTAAACCGAGAAACTCTGCATGATGTCTTGCCCATACGAGATGTACTACTCTCTCTTACAACCACATGGTGTACTGCAAATGTCCACATTAAAGAGACACACCTATAATAACCCCGAATCTATTAAGTTTCTCGGATTACATATCGACGCTACGTTAACATTAAAAATGCATACTAGAAATACTTGTAAAAAAATAAGCAGTAACATCTATCGCAGAAACTCATTCCGCGCATTGCGTATACTAACTCTGCCAGCGCGGAAGAAATTACGTCACCATTTTACGTGTAGGTAAATATAATATCCAAGTGGAAACTTTCCTAAAAGTGAGATCGCAGTAACGCGCAGTTTTTAAAAAGGTTCACGAATTCACTGTGAAGGAACCAACGGCTAAAGCACGCATTTTGTTCATCGCTTGCAAATTCAAAATTTTAACCAAGGAGCAGTACGATTTAAATACAAATCAAGTTACTGGAGTCAATTTATTCGAGGAGACTGAACGCATAGGAGGGTGGCAGAATTCCAAACAACCAGGAGGTGGCTATCTACGACGTCAATAATTTGCGATTCTCAGAAAAAATTCCAAGGTTCGACATCGACGGAATGGAGTTCAACAAACTTCCGTTGAATCAAGAGACTTCATTCCTAAGGTAAAAGACAATATTCCTTTATACGAATTAAATCCAACGGCGTACGCATTTTAAAACTAGCGGTACTTTTGCGTAAGAATAAATGACAATTTATCTGTTCGAATCTAACCCGCGGACTGAAGTGCTAAAGTATTTTCAAAAATTAGAATTGTTTACATAGTGTAGGTTTAGGTTTCTTTTTAGGTTCATCGTAACTGTAATTATTTTCTTTATTTGCATGTTTAATTAAAATAAATGTATTCTAATAAAATTAATGTACGCTTTTGCAATCGTAATTATTACAATCACTAATTTTTACTCACAGAAACAAAAAGGTTCCAAAATTCAAACGTATACCGAATTATGAAAATTGCTTAATTCCTCCAGGCATAGTAGAGTATCAATTTCGGTAGTTGTATCTTGCCCAAATCTTGATTATTTGTTGAAATTAACCAAATACCTGCGAAGATGCAAATTGGCCTAATTATTCCTTATTACTTACCCATTTATTTACCTGAGCTAGCTGGAAGTATGAAAGTAAAATTAAGGTAAGTTCCAAAAAGTTTCGAGTTGGTTTTTGCTGACTATGCACTGTCGCTGGTCTTCCTCTTACTGATACAGGACCGCTGCTATGCTGCATCCGCTGGCTTCTGTTTGGAGCACAAATTTCCTCAGGATCCCGGGGCATACCTCCAGTGTCATTAGCCTCTGAAAGGTGGATGGCGCGTTCTTTAGTCCGGACGGCATCGCCCGTAACAGGCGCCGTCGGGAGTCGAAAAGGCGGTGAGTGCACGAGACTCAAGTGCGAGGAGATCAGTATCCAGATTTGCGGTCCAGCCAGGAGAGCTCCCCAATGTGCTAAGTGTCTAGTGGATAAGTGGTAGGGTGGAGCCTTCGTCTCGGGTGCAGCCATTCAGGCTGTGGTAGTCCACCCAGAAGCGAGCGTTACCGTCCTTCATTTGGACTGGGGACGAATAACTGGAGGTTATTACAAACACAAAAGATAGTCAAATTCACATTTATCTCTAAAACATTATTAAGCGTCAGAGCAAAGCGAAGCAAACTTTATAGGGGGTCGATGGTGTCCGTCTGTCCGTCCGTGCCTGAACACGATAACTGTCAAACGCTTGGACCGATTTGGTGCAAACTTTGCACAGTTGACCTATATGCTAGTAATAAGTCTACTGAAAAATCAAATCAAATGACCCCTTGCGGTCACGCTTATCTGTCCCTGCCAAACGCTCGAACCTATTCGTGTCAAACTTAATGCCCATGTAACAAGTCTATTGAAAATGGGACAAATCCAATGACCAACACAAAAAAACGAAAATGTCTTAATTGTCAACATGGAAATTTCTACCCTTCGTTCGAGAACAACATAATTCCTTCTTCTGAACACATTGTAATTGGAATACTCCTCTTTCCGTTTCCTCCTTCGTAAGTATATTGACAAACATTGCCGAATCCTGATAAACATCGAGTCCCCAATACCTTGTCAAGTTAAACATGTCCTGAAATTTCTACGAAGTAAATGGAAAGATTTAATGTGAGCATCTCCTCTGCGCCGCCTAACCCTAATAAAAAGGGATACCAGCTAAATTATTACCAATCAATTTCGGGCAGGGTGTATACTTTATTAATTGAAAAGGTGCAAATACATGATTTTTAAACAACCACCACCGTACTCATATAGTTTAAACTGGAATACTTAATTTCGTTTATGTGCAAACATTTCCGCGCAAAAACAAATAGAGGCAGCCACGTTTCCAAAAACGTAGAGTGCAAATGCCGATCTGAATCCCTTTAGGAAATATTTATCTTCAAAGTCGGGATATGAAGTTGTCGTTTTACTGTATGGAATAGCAGAATACCTAGTTCTTAAATTTGCCAAACAGTCCGATTTCCATTTCGATCTAAGTCCAGCTTAAAGATAAAAACTGTACGATTATATGTCTACTTTTGGGCAATACCTACTAGATTCGATCCTTGAAATAAGTACATCAAAAGAGTTTTTAAACGGTGCTCCTCTAGGCAGTGGCCAGGCATGAGAAGTTTGGTGGATAGACTGTGAAGTTAACCTCAGCTTTGAATATATGGCAGGTTTCAGCATATATCCACAAGTGAACAGCATGTGATATTGCAAGTACCCATATTCGCTTAGAATCGCCGCTTTATTCTCTACGATATATTGTATTGACTGACAGGTATCATTGCAATAGACCAACTTTCTGTAAGGAAAACGGTAATAATACAATTTTTAAATACTGACTGTACTTTAGCGCTGCTGCGGTTAGGGGGTTTCCTTTGTTTAATATGTCCTCCTTAATTTCCAGATTGGCTATGCTTGCCACGATCTCATAGTCGCTCTCTAACAGTTGCTCAAGGTTCGAGGGCTCAATATTGTAGTTTTGTATCGAGATTGCCCACAGTTTACTTTTATAAGCAGTAGCGATTACCAAAGATGCAAACCACCAAATCCCCAAAATCGTATAGGATCGGAACCTGGTTTTTGTCGACTTGATCTTCACCTTTTCCACTTGCTCAATTGTCGCTTTAAAACACACCTAATAAAATAAAAGTTAGAATTGACGTATGGCACATTGCCAGTGGTTACCAGAAAGCAGGCAGTACGAGTAAATTCAGGCTTACCATCCGAACCTATTGTACTGTAATAAAGTGCAAGCGAGAAGGAGACTATGGCTGTAAATACAAAGAGCCAAGTTGTAACATCGAACGGTTTAAGACTGTCAAAAAACTCAGAGCCACGCAGCTTTCTTGGTATATAAAGAAAATTGTATGGTTCAATGTTAATAGGATAACTAAATGACATTTGCGAAGCTCTTCCGTATGTGATCGAAATTCCGCCGATGATAAAATCGTATATCCGAGATTGCATTAGATTGAGTTGTCTATGTAAATTTCCCATGGAAATTTGATATGCTCTGATATCATAAGTGAAATGTAATTTTCTACTAAGAATTTTTAAAATTTCGAATTCAACACCAACTGATTCATGACAGATACGTAAAGTTACATTGTCGAACAACGTTTCGGTCGAATTGCTGCAAAACATCTTCGGAAAACTTTGGATGTACCCTACATGAAAGTGGTGCCCATTGAAGTTATTAAAGCGATGTGGTCGTAATTCCAACATTAACTCTGTTATGGTGTTGTTGGTAAATACATAATTTAGCTTTCCTGTAGTTGCCCCACAATAATAGCAAATGTAATACAATGATTCCTTTATCATGTCATAAATAATAGTATTTCCCGCTTTGGCCAATTTGAACGACTTCCAAAATGATTCATCCATAATTGATTCGTCAAGTATAAT